AAAGTATTAAATCATATTTTCTATTATTTTTTATAGAAAGAACAGAGAAAGACAAGCACACATTCTACCTGATGGTAGGTGAATGCTGTGGCTCAAAAGGATGAGTTACAAATATATATAAAGGATTACATCCATTTTGCATTAATAATCAAAATTCAGATGGGTTGTTACGTCTAAAAACTAGGATGGGATAATGCATTATATTTGTAAAAATAAAATGTGTCTTCGGTTCATGTCACTCACCACACGAATGACAGCGTGGTCCTTCCTCGTTCGAGCCGACCCATTTGTGCAACGCGCCTTTTCCATGTATAATGTAATCTATCAATTTGTTAAAAAAATTGTCAAGTAAAACATAAGTTATATTATTTAAAGACATGTTTTGTATAAATTGCTTAGTTTTCGCGATAATTATATGTGCAAAATTTATTGGAAAATCCAGTTCATCTCCTATTAAAGGTAACTAAACAAAATTCCAGTACAACCTTACAGATTCAATTTGTCACAAAACAGTGAGTGAAATTACCATAAAAGAAAACTTTTAAAGGTCTAAAATATCAATATCAGATACCCCATTTAAGAGACGCAGGGCGAAGAAATGATACGACGCGGTGTCTCTCAATATTTATTCATATAAAATATATAGGAGCGTTGCGACACATGAGGTTGCGATGTAAAATATGCAAAAGCGAGAGTGCACCTTTTCTACAGCGGCTTCTCAATTCATAAGAACGTTCCTTTTGAGCTACCAGTGCAGCCGCGTCTTCAGCTCGTCCTTGCACTATGTCTTTTTTGTGTGACCAGCACCAGCGCAAGACTTGTTTGCAGTCTACAGACACATTCTAAAGAAATTTTTTCAATTTAGTTTAAATAAACGGTTAAAAAGATGAATCTTTGTATGGCAGTACTGAACCTTGCTTGACATATAAAACCCGTTTGTGTTATTATTATTTACCCTTATTTAAAATATCCGAATCGCAGAACATAATTCTCTAATCAATGTAATAAATAGTGACCGACGGAAGGTCAATTTTTGAAGGAAGCCGAAGTCAAAGCCGATTGTTGGCTTCTGTTGTAACCCTTTCGCTTGGGTAATATAATAAGATAATAAGATAATGGCGCCAATTAAATAAACTCCAAATGGCAAAAATCAATATTATTTTTTATATATTCTTATCAGTTTCTTACATGCTTTTTACTTCACAGTATGATATAATACCATTTTTAACCGACTTTAAAAAGGCGGAGTGTCTTAATTCGACTGTATTTTTTATGTGTGTTGAGGTAACCCTCAGAACTTTTTTCTAGGTGAACCTATTTTGATGATTCTTTTTTTATTTGAAGGCTGGTGCTTCTCATGTTCCATATAAATTTGATCTAGATCTGACCAGTAGTTTTTGAGTTATCCTTAATAATGCGTATTTAATTTACTCCGAATTAATTGATGATGTTCTCTTTTTATTTGTATTGAAGTCGGTTGTACAATATTTTTAATTTTACTACTTGTTACTGAGATTATTTTTTTTACCAATTTCTGCCACAGAATGACACTGTCTGCGCTGACTGTGTTCCGATCTGAAGGGTATACAAAGCTGGTATAATTACAGGCTGTAAGGTATTACATGATAGTCCTCGACATGTCAACGCTTCTGTAACCTTTTTAGTTTCAAGTTCGCTGCAGGTTTCCATGCACTGCAGTAGTCACTTACAATCAGGTAGACTGTAAGTTCGTTCGCACTTTTGATTTATATAAAAAAACTGAGGTTCGTCCTTGAGCGGCGGTTCTAATCCAAATCGGACATAATTATATTAGGCTATGTGACATTACAACTTAGTCCTCAGAACTGGATAACTACTGTAGCCTTCTTTGTTTGAATAGCAGGTGTCCGGTAACTGTTTTTTTTTATAGGATAGGGTGACAAACGAACACACAGTCCACCTGACGGTAAGTGGTTGCTGTGGCCCATCTACATCTATCCTCGATTACGAATCAAAATACAAATGCATTGTCACCCGTGAGGACTAAGATGGAATGCCTCGTTTCAAGTAAAAAGGGTCTCGCGATTTTGTAACCATCGGGTTAACAATTAGCTTATTAGTCATTTAATCATTAGTGTAAATAAGTAGTAGGGATTAGCCACGCTTTCTGGACGGTCTTCTTCTTCTTCTCGGACGATTTCTGGATCTCGACAACAGCGCCACCTACCGGGTCAAATTGTGAATCTAAACCATCCAGGGACTCACTTAAACACACACAAAAAAATAAATTACATAAAAATTGGTCGACCCATTTACGAGTTTTTGCGAGACTAACGCACGGCAATATGTAGAGTTTTAAAAAACTGTGACAAATAACTAGCGAGATTCAGAAACAATAACTAACGAGAGGTTTATTTACAAGATTGCAGATTATTAAGACATCTGGAAGTGGGTGAAAACTGAATTAAAAGTACGATTCTGGCTCTATTTTCAGATTGTGTTATATTCTTAACATATTATTGTCTTATATTTAACCTACTTTTAATACAGTTGCGATTATCTTTAAAATTAGGTACTTATAAAAATGTTATTTATATGGTAATGCAAATAATATAACATTTTGTTTCAAACAATGATAAATACACTCTCCATTACTTTAAAATAAATCATACTTTAAATAAAGATTTCTTAGAAAGCTTATTATGAAATTTAACACAAAAAGTTCATGAATTCTTACTTACTTTAGTACGTTCGTTCACGTACACGGCTTAATATTTCACGCTGCAATAGGCTTATCCGTAATATATTATAATTTTATAGGCATCTTAAAAATGTTTTACTGTAATTTATTAAAACTTCTTTAGATAAATAATACTCGTATTTTCATTTTCCTTTACTTTTTCTTTTAAAATATATGAAAAGAGGCATCTTTAACACGTTGTAACTCTTGTATGTTGATATAATATAATATACATAATGTTCACTTGCTTGTTTAAACTGAATTTAAAAAATCCAATAACAGTATGGATTAATATTATGGGAAATTAAGCCACTTATTTAAAATTAAATTAAAATAAGTAATGGATCACTGCAGAGTTTTCGTAAAAGCCATCGCTTATTTTCGAAGGGGTAATATAGTATTTTTTACGCTCTGGATGCCTTAACTGTTTTTATACGCTTTATAATGGCTTAACAATAATTCGAAAATTATGATTTCTGCAGGAAAGACATCCGAAGGTGATCTCCGGTGATTCAACTCACCTAAGCGTAACAGTTACAGCACATTGTCTTACATTTGGACTAAGACCTTCATAAGGTGCTCACGATTACATAAAATAATTTTTAGCTGTGAAGAAATATTGGATTAATTTTACTAACACTTTAATATTGTTCCATGACAAATCATTCTTTTTAAATGATATTTATTTAAATTCTAGAAAAGAGTGAGAGGTATTGCGACCAAAGTTAGGAAAGAAATGCTTTATTGGTTTGTACACGTAAAAAAATTAGTGAGTAGAGTGGTAAAGCAAATTTATGCTGCAAAAGTGAGTGGAAAAGGCAACAAGGGCGACGTATAGAGAAGTTTATCGACCAAATTAGCAATAATATTGAAGATTGTCCTGAATAAGAGTACCTACTATGGCGAAAGACTTTTATATCAGGATCGTGTCAAATAAAAGTTCGTTATCCTGCCTACCCCTTCAGATGACAAGAGTGAGTTTATGTACGCATGTATAATTTTTGAAATAAGAGTAAAATCATTTCAATACTGCCGATACCGCTGCTGCCACGGCTGCCACGTAGTATTATTGCAGGTTCTGAAATACTAATGCTTATTTGTTTAAACAGTAGTAAATCATTAAAAAATAAAGATATAGCCTTCTCATTTCTGAGAGGATTTTAGGGCAAGGAAGTATTACTATGAGTGTTGACGAACTTCACATGCCTTCGAAATATTACGTGTATATATATATATATATATATATATATATATATATATATATATATATATATATATATACAACATATAACAAAAACCCTGTGGTTCCCGTTAGGTGTGTTATCAGAATCAGTATTTAAGCATATGGAAATATTTTTTTTTTCAAAAAAACATATTTAAAAAAATTATTTTTAATGAAAAAAAAATTTATTTGGTTTCGTGTGAGTTAGAAGGAAATAAAACCAAATTGTAATTGGTTTTATTTCCTCTAACTCACACGAGTATCGGTAATGCGTGGTCTTTGACAATCCTCTCACTCCTCGGCCAATGCAGAGATAATAAAACCACATACAATTAGCAAAAAAATTTTTTTTCATTAAATATCTTTCTTTAAATGTGTTTTTTTTTTGAAAAACATTGTTTCTACATGCTTGGATACTGACTCTGATAACGCAGTTAAAGGGAACCACAGGGTTTTGTTACATGTTGTAATATATATATATATATATATATATATATATATATATATATATATATTACTGTGAAACTTACGGCGAGCGCTTAGCCCCTAAGCTACGCGGTTAAACAACAAAACATTGTTTAATATTAAATATTTAGAGTTCTATTTACCTACTTAATTACAAATTCAAAACAAATAAAATTATAATTAATAACGTTAATAATAAATTAACTGCTGCCTTTCAAGCTTCTCTCAAGCCTTATTTAATGTCATTTTACAATTGCGAAAATAAAAGTTTGTCAAAATAATGCAGTTGTAGGATAAAATTAAATAGATAAGATATTCTACCATATATTATAGATGCAGTAAAAATGATTCCTTCTGGATACACCGTCATAACCATTTTTGTCGCCAAACACATTGCTGTTCCGGACTACTTTTTTTTAAATTAAAATACATTTATATATTTTTATGTTTAACATGTATATTGCAGAAATAATATGTGTATGACTGTTTAATAAAATTAGTTTATCTTTGTTGCAGTTCCTTTTCTAACACATATCAGTTATGATCATTAGATTACAATGCCTCCTCACAATATTGACGAGCTTTATAGTTTTAATGATATCAGGTTAGTACGTTGATTTACAAATTGATTTATTAAAAAAAATTATTTTATTACTGGGTTATATAAACAGTAGTGTATTACTATATGGTTTGACTGGAAACATATATATATATATATATATATATATATATATATATAATATAATATAATATAATACCATACATAAAATAAATAAATTAATATAAAACCAGCCAGTTGGAACGGCTTTGAACGGAGTTCAAACGGCTGAGGATTAGGTGAGAAAGAGAAAGACGGTCGGACTATTTTGATTATTTTATTTTTATTATAATAATTATTCAATTTTATATTTTTTATGCATTATTGTAGGTAGTCCGACATTCTTTCAACAGAGAGGGAGAAGCAATAGACCTGTAATAAGATGGAGACCACCGAAGGATACATGGAATTGGACATCGGAGCCAAGAAACGAAAAACCATTTTTTACACCGTCCAATTTTACCCACAAATTGCCACCTACAGCTAACGAAACTGAATTGTTAGCACACATGGCAACACTCAAAAGAAATTACTCCCGTCTTCTTTGGGACAATGATAAGAGCACCAACTTACCTTTATTCGTAGACAAAGCTCTGAAACTGTTAAATTTAAAGCAGGTCTATTACGAAGTAGAACATTCAGTTATGTCAAGGGTTTCTTGTACAGCGTGCAAAGCTGGCGCCGGACTCTTACAACATTATATAAAGCTAGGTAAAAGCAAGGAAGAAATAAATAAAATGATATTTCAGTTTTGTGTTTCCCTTAATATACAGTCAGCACGTGTGTGTGAAGGTATAACGAGATTGTTTGGGGTAAGAAATACTTTAAACTATTCATCAGAAAGTTATAATTGTGTTGTCATATTATAACTAATCATTATTACATATATTTCAGAGCGAGGTTGTGTACGTTTTAAAACGCATCACGATAGGCCCAGATGAAATATGTAGTTTTGTCATTGGAGATGCTTGCGGCGACGTATACAATCCATATCATGAATGGGAAGTATCATTCCCTCCAGTACAAAAGCCACCAACACAATCACTAGACGCGCCAGTAGAGAAGGCGCCAACATTTAAAGTTCTTCAAATATCTGATACTCATTTCGATCCTTATTATGCAGAAGGTATGGTGTTCTTGCTTTGTAAATATAGAGGTGGTGCTTGAGTCTGTAATATGTATTTGACAATTTAATTGCAGGCGCCAATGCAGAATGCAACGAACCCTTATGTTGTCGAGTGTCAAGCGGACCGGCCTTGACACCGGGCGGCGGTGCAGGTCGCTGGGGAGACTATCGCAAATGTGATACTCCAAAACGGACCATCGACCACATGTTGAAACATATCGCTGATACGCATCCCGTTAGTATCGATATATATTTCCTTCTTCCTTTTCACTAATTCGTAAAAAGTACTAATGCAATGTGCCTCGTAAGAGGCGTCGCTGAATCACTAAACAGTATGATGGATTCTATAAAGCATGGTACGCCCAATACCATAAAGAGCTTAGGCGAACTAATTACTTAATGATAATCGTAAAATTTCATACCCATATGCTTTTCCAATAACTACCCTTTTCCTGTAGTGTAATGTCTTCTATTATATTATATTCTAATACATACAAATATTTGTTTCTAAAGAGCCTTGGCAGTTCAAGCGATAAGCGCATACCCCTAAATTTCATAGGAAGCGAGCAAACCGAGGTAGAGCTTCTCTGGGAAAACAGAAATTGTAAATTTTTCCACTTGATTGGCGGTATAACATCTCGAGAAAAATTAAAAATATATTTCTAGGACATGTGGGATATTTAAGAATAAATCTTTCAAGAAATAAGTTCATTTTCAGGACATAGATTATATTCTATGGACGGGAGATTTGCCCCCGCACGATGTTTGGAATCAAACAAAAGAGGAAAATTTGAAGGTTCTACAAGAAACCGTTGCACAAATGTCGGATATGTTTCCAGGTGTACCGATTTTTCCAGCACTTGGAAATCATGAATCTTCTCCGGTTAACAGGTAATATAATAATAATAATTTTATTTCGGATACAAGCTCCATACTTTGTTATATTTATATATATGTAAACTTAAAATTAATGTTAGTAAATATACAACTAAAACGACAATACTTATTTTATATTAAACATAACAGCTCTGGACCCCATATGTACAGTGTTCCAGTGCCGCACCAGTCAAGCCTTCCTAATACATTACTTAGGAGTCCGTTGGCACTGACTCGCACGCGTCGCATCAGGGAGGCCACTCTCTTCCGCACTATTGTATCAAAGCTGTCCGTGTTAGCCTCAACAAACATACCTGACGCGCTGCAATATCGAGACAGCCCCATCAGCATCCTAAAGCCATTATTGTACTAAACTCGTAGAGCATTTACAGACCTGCGAGTATACTTAACCCACAGGCTGCAGGTGTAAAACGTTTGGCAGTACGCCTTAAAAAGAGTTATCTTGACGGCTTTTGTACACCTCCAAACCTGCGAGCCAGCATGTTGCACCTCACTGCTAACGCTCTACGTTCTCGTTCAATATCCATGTCATCAGAGAGGTCCTCTGTAGTACCAGTGCCTCTGTGTAGCAGTGCCCCAGGTATTTAAATTTGGTGACTTTACTTAAAAGTAATCCTCCAAGCCTGACCAGCGGGATAGCCTTGGGTTCTTTGTTCCCTGCCTTGAAAACAAGTAGTTCACTCTTTTTGGAGTAATACCTGAGGCCGTGGGCTTCTCCATATCTCTCACATAAATTTATTAATATCGCGAGTGCCCTGATTGAAGGGCTCAGCAGCACCATGTCGTCCGCGTAACTGATGCTGTTGTTTGTTACAACTTTATTTATTTAGGCATAATTTTTGTTTAGTTTCCCTCCGCCGTACATCTCGACACCGGAGTCAAACATCGGGTGGCTGTACAACGAACTAGACGCGCAATGGCGGCGCTGGTTGCCCGCAGGCGTCTCGCACACGGTGCGCCGCGGAGCCTTCTATTCCGTGCTCGTACGCCCTGGCTTCCGTATCATATCACTTAATATGAACTACTGCAACAATAAAAATTGGTATGTTTCATATACCTACTTATACTTTAAACCGATAAGTTTGAAAAATTGCTGTGTCCATAGACACCTACATCTATCCTTAGACGGAACGGCTCGTTAGCAGCAAAAAGGTCTACGGTACTCGTCATTCACCATATGAAAAATAGCAACATTACTGTTATTTAAAATGCTGATGTTTCACGCTATTTCACCTTCGTATTATGTGCGAACATGATTCTTCCCTGATGAAGTCGACCCATTCGTGCTGCAGCCATAGCTGAAGCTGCAGCATGACCTTGCCTTATAGTACCACCACCTTAATTAAATAGACCAAAACATTATCTACCAACTGTCCTCCTCCAGACCGAATTTCGGTCACGGCGGCCTGCCTCAACGGAGGCTAGCCATCGGCGCAGGACAGGATTATAGTGCCCAAGTGTATGCGCAAGCACAGGTGCACTCTCTATTCCCTCACTCTCATAATCCGATAGGACGGTAAACCGACACGACCAGAGAGAGATCAGGCTCAGGACCAACGGCTTAACGTGCTTTCTGAGGCACGGGGGTGAGACACCGCCAACTTCCTGACTCCGGGCAGCCACTGAGAATTTCTGGACAGAAAAACTCAATAACTGATTTTTTTGGCCCGACCCGGGATTCGAAACCTGGACCTCATGATCAGCAGTCGCACTACTACAACCACTAAACCAACGAGGCAGTCTACCAACTAATGACATTACGAATATAATAAAATAATTGCTCGCTTAAAATATTAAGACGTAGATTCAAAGACGTAATGTTTTGTAAGGATGTTAATCAAATGTATAAGTAGATATAGCAATAAGATGTAATAAGTATTTCGTTATTCAATTTTATGTGACATCCCTTTACTAATGTTTACAAAAGAAAAAAGAAAATTTTAGGCTTTGTATATTAACCCATCACTAGCAAAACTCACCGATTACTTATTTCTTACAAAATATTGCGCCGGCCGTGTAGAGTTAAAATGATATGAATTATTAAAGGGAGGATACTGGCACAAGTCATTATCTAAGACATATTAATATAGCAAACAGTATATAATTACGTTTAATGCCAGATAGCATGAATAAATAAGCAGTCGGCCATTGTTAACCGGTACTAGGTTGTGCCTAGTGATATGATCAAATAATGATTCGAAGATTATTTGCATGTGAAAATTACTAGAAAAATTGTGTGAAATGCAGGATGAATTATAGAGCTATACGCGCATATGTGCGAAAACAGGCACCAAGTCGTATACCAATAACAAATTGTTTTCCTACGCTCCTATGCAACGTAGAGAAACCGAATCTAGGACAAAAACTGGAGAATGAAACAATGTGAAAGCTGAAATAATTAATTTTAAACTTTGGCTGCATTGACAGATGATTCTAAACACAACATAATAAAACTAGTGATCGAAATCATTTACCAATAAGCAGATACAATAACTTTACAAATTTGTTTTTGTATGTGAAGTTGTGACATTTTTATGTATACCTTAAAAGCTTAAAACCTTTATTGGAGCCGTGGTTGCTCAGATGGTTAACGATCGCTGTAAAGATAATAGAACGCGAGTAACCCGGGTTCGATCCCCGCCGGCACCAATTTTAATTGCTGATTTACCACGTGCTCGGCGGTGAAGGAAAACTTCCTTGCCCTAAAACCCTCTCAGAAATGAGGGGAGGCCTGTGCCCAGCAGTGGGGCGTATATAGGCTGTAACTTTACTTTTAAAACCTTTATTACATCACTGACTAGCGATCCTTGTAATTTCTGGATCTCGACAACAGCGTGAACTACCGGGTCCCATTAAATTTTTAAACCATCTAGTATCCATCCATTATAACTTATAAATACACACAAAAAATTCATCAAAATCGTTCAAGCCGTTTTCAAGTTACATACACATAGCGAGGCTACACGGACAGCAATTAATTTTATACATTATGCATCTTCAGGTGGTTATTAATGAACAGTACAGATCCAGCTACAGAACTTCAATGGTTGATATACGAATTGCAATCAGCGGAATTCAGCGGAGAGAAGGTGCACATCATTGGTCATATACCGCCCGGACACTCGGATTGCATCAAAGTTTGGAGCCGTAACTATTACGCCATTATCAACCGATATGAATCTACTATTACCGCTCAATTTTTCGGACATACCCATTTTGACGAATTCGAAGTTTTTTATGATCCTAACGATCTAGGTAAGCCAAAGAATATTTTTTTAAACATGAATATTTTTTAAACATGAATTAATTTTATGTTTATATATATATATATATATATATATATATATATATATATATATATATATATTATATGTTAACATACTTATTTATTTTTAGGAAGGGCAACTAGTATAGCTTATGTTGGACCATCAGTATCGCCATACTATGATTTAAATTTAGGATATCGTATTTATTATGTAGACGGGGACCATGACGCTACAACGAGGGTAATCCATATTCATTTTTAAACATATTAACTTTTATTCTTGTTTGCTTTTTATTTTAATTTATGCTAAACAGTTTTTTTCTTTTTAGCTTGTGGTCGATCATGAAACCTGGATCATGAATTTAAAAGATGCAAACCTTTTTGGTTACCCAATTTGGTATAAATTGTACTCGGCGCGGTCCGCGTATCAAATGCAGGCTCTAAGGCCACAAGACTGGGATAAGTTTATAGATGATATGACTTACAAAGAAGACATTTTTAATTTATATTTCAAGTAAATATATTTTAATCTTTTTTCATCATCATCAACATCGTATCATCGTTAATACAATCCTTCAGAAGTCCACTCCTGAACATAGGCCTCCTTCAAGGAATGCTACAAAGCGCAGTCCTGAGCTACCTGCATCCATCGATTTCCTGCATGCCTTACCAGATCGTCACTCCATCTAGTGGGGCCCACACTTCGCCTTTTTTATAGAATTAGGGTGACAAACAAGCACACAGTCCACCTGATGGTGAGTGGATGCTGTGGCCCATAGATATCTACATTTAACCTCGATTAAGAATCAAAATGCAGATGCGTTGTCACCCCTGAAGACTGAGATGGAATGCCTCGATTCCTGTAAAACGGGTCTCCGGTTATCTACACTCACCAAACGAAACAAAGGAGCATCGGGCAGTCATTTTACGCTAGTATTCTGTGAGAGGGTGGTCCTTCCCCGGTCGAGCCGATCCTTTCGTGCTACAACATAATATAGCTGCAGCGTGGCTCTACCACGTATAAAAGCCGTACTAATACGAGGCTGCCATTCGAGAACGATTTTTCCCCATCAATTGTCAGTTCTCCGAGCTATATGGTTGACCATTGCCACTTACTAATCAGTTTACTAATCCGTTGGGCCATGTCGGTCACTCTGGTTCTACTGCGGATATCCTCATTTCTAAGTTTATCACGCAGAGAAACCCCGTTTTAGCCCCCTCCATAGCTTGATGAGCGACATTGTGCGTCCTCATACGGCCAGCAGTGAAGGACTACGTCTCAGTTCCATAAGTCATCACTGGTATCACGCACTGGTTGTACCTATGGTCACTTTTTAGGTTTTGAGGTATAGCTGACGAGAAGATGTGTCGTAATTTCCCGAACGCTGTCTAGCCGACTTAAATCCGTCGATTGACCTATCGGCCGAAGTTGGACTTACCAAGTAGGACTATTTGTCCCAGGTATAAATATACTCGTCAACAACTTCGAGCTTAGTGCTCCCAAAAACTACCGGTATAGGTGTGACATGGACGTTACACATAATACTTGTTTTGTCTATGTTCATCATAAACCTATCCGTTGGAAGGCACTATTGAGGTCATTGAGCATAGTGCTTAGGTCCTCCAGCGATTCTGCCATATCTGCGGCTATATCGCCGGCAAATCAAAGATGAGTGATGTACTCACCATTAACGTTAATACCATATCCTTTCCAGTTCTGTAGCTTGAAAACGTCTTCCAATGCAGCGGTGAAGAGTTTCAGGGATATAACGTCACCCTGTCTTACACCTCTCTGCAGTTGGATGGGTTTTGTACTCTGATTCTGTACTCGGATAGCCATCGTTGATCTACTGTACAAATACTTCAGCACTTCAATATAGCGAGAGTCATCTTGGCACCGCTGAAGGGACTGTAGCACCGTCCATTTTTCGAGGGAAACAAAGGTTTTTTCAAAGTCCACATACGCAAGGCAAAGTGGCAGATTGTACTCTTCGGTCTTCTATAAAATTTTCCAAAGTGTATGTATGTGGTACTAAAACCTTTTTGGAGGTTGGAAGTCATCTAGTCTGCTCGTGAAATGATTCGTAATAACTCTCGAAAACATCATGTAGACGCGCCTCAGAAGGGAAGTCTGATTGTAGTTCTTTTTTTATAGAAGAGGGGGCAAACGAACACGCGGCTCACCTGATGGTAAGTTACTACCGCCGCCAATGAACCGGTCCGGAAAAATCGCCGGTGGTAAACAATTCCACAGAGAAGTTGTAACAGGAAGAAAACTCCTAGTAAAACGCACAGTGGTGGATCGCCAAGCATCCAGATGGTGATGATGATATAGTGAATTTTGACGCAATGTGCGTTCGTGAAATTTGGTGACTGGAACTAATCGGAACAATTCCTCAGAACACTCCCCTTGGTAGATTCGATAGAAAAAGCAAAGGGATACAACATCTCTACGCAGTGCCAGTGAATCGAGCCGAACAGAAATAATTCGGTCGTCGACGATTCGAACCGCTCTGCGCTAGCTGCGGCTAAGTGGAAGGAGCTGGCACTGGGGTGCAGAGATGAGTATAGTATTCCATCTTAGGCCCAGCTTGCGCTATGTAAAGTAGCAATCGATGTGCCGGCATGAAATACTGTCTCGCTCTGATGAGCACGCCAAGCTTTTTAGAGGCCAATTTGGCCCTCCAAGTGACCACGAAACTGCACAATATTCGAGAGAAGCGCACCTTTCTTAAAACAAACCACTACACTTATGCTCCACGCCTCCGGAGTAGTATCATCATAGAGGACGGAATTAAAATCGGAAAGACGTCAAGTAGGTACCACCCGCTTTCAGAAGCTCCGCTGTAATTCCATCCTCGCCCATGGATTTGCCGTTTTTAAGGTGCTGCAGAATCACTCTAATCTCGCTGAGACGCGATATCATCGTAATAGTGTCGGATAAGACTTGCTCACGGATCATTACTCACACTTGCGTGTGGCTCCAACGATGACGTGTACAGCTGCCCATTGAATCTCTCAATCTCACTCAAAATCTCAGTTCTCCCGGAAACGATGTTGCCACACTCAGACTTCAGCTTCGACAGTTGGCTTTTTCTGGCAGACAGATCACTGGCAAAGATTTTGGAGCCCTCGTTCTGCCCAATCGCTTCTTCAATAAGAACTGTTTTGAAGTTGCGTAAGTTCCGCCGCATGTTATTGGAGATCTATCTGTTCAGTTGCCTGTATACAGTGAAGTCTGCTGAAGACTGCAGCTTCATTTCCCGTTTAACAGCCATGAGATTAATAGTGTGATCGGAGAGTTTCTGTGTTCTTCTGCGGCGGGTCGTGCAGAGCTTAGCTCCGACCGCATGGACACTTTCCACGAGCTTGTCATTCATATTGTCCACTGCATTGCAGTCTTCTAGGGACTGAAAACGATTTGTAATTCGAGCTGAAAGTTTTCGCACGAGAGGGACGGAGCGTTGAATTCATTAGACGGGACCTCTCCAACTTAATGTTTACTTTCAGTGTGCCTCTAACCATTCGGTGATCACTGCTATCTTTCACCCTCGCGATCACTGAAGCATGACTGATCAGTTGGCGTCTGGTCATCATAATGAAGTCAATCTCATTTTTTGTCGAACCGTCGGGGCTCGACCAGGTCCACTTCTCGTGTTGACGCTTCTAAATTCGCCCAGCTGCTGGCCCCTTGGGTTCTGTTGCCCTATTCCAACGCTTTTAACGCTACAGTACCTATTCGTTGTATTTTGAACAAAAGAATAAAGCAAGCGGTATTGTTCAGTTTTTATTGATATCATTAAAAAGTTAAAAAGGCGGGAACTTACGTTTCTTACTCATCATGTCCCGCTCCCCAAAAATCTGCCTCCCTGGTGCATGACCCCCTGCACGCTTGATACGACAATGGATCGGAGAAATGCTAGGATGCAGTGTTAGAAACATGGAGGAAAATCACGAAGCAACCAGATCCGAAAACCAACAAATTGTGTTTTGTAAAATGTTGGCTGTAGCTTGAATTCGAACCCAGGACCTGCAATTATTTACCTGAGTGCCCTGACTATGTTCAGACCACTAGAAACTTACTAGTAATAAAATATAACTGTTGCTATGTTCAGACACTATTGGAAGAACAGTCCACGTCGAGGTTCATGTGATGGCGAGTGCCGCAAGCGGCTAGTGTGCGACGCGCGCTCCGGCCGCTCGCACGATCGTCGCGCCCTCTGCGGAAATATAGAGGCGCGCATCGACAGCACCGCGCCTGCGCCGCAAACTTGGCGCGCGTGGCTCTACAATGGCATCTCTGTTTCGTAAGTAACAACGTGCTACAGTCACCAATCTTCAGTCATTACCTCACATTATAATATCATGTAATAATAACTTCACAGACGCATAGTCGTTGCTCTTATTATCATATCATCACATCTTTACATTTTTTTTACATAACTAAACAATATTTTCTTAATAAGCTTGACACCATAAAAATGCAACCGTTTTTTAAAAAACTATATTTTTTATTATTAATTATTGCTATAACGAAAATTTCCTAGCAGAATCATCGAATATTCTCCTCATGTAACTAATAGGCGTTAATTAATTTTAAAAGAATCGTAAGCAAGTGTTGTATCGCAAGGTTAAAATGCATAATTTATAGTTTGATCAAATTTAAAAAAAAGTTAGGTATAATAATTAAATTAAAATAATCCAGGTAGCCAATTTTTGATCACAGTGACAACTTCCGAATAATTGGAAGCTATCAAATGCGCAGATGATACTTATTCGTACAACCAGTGTGTTGTCAGTGAAGACATGGATTTGGGACGTGGTCCTCCACTGCTGGCCGTATGAGGAAGCTCAAGATCACTCAGCTATGGAGAGGGCTATGCTCGGAGTTTCTCTGCGTGATAAGCTTAGAAAGGAGGATATCCGCAGTAGAACCAGTGACCGAGATAGCCCAACAGATTAGTAAGCTGAAGTGGCAATGGGCCATGCTATGGCCAGCTATATAGCTCGAAGAACCGACAACCGATGGGGAAAAAAGTTCATTAGTGGCAGCCTCGTACCGGCAGTCGAAGTTTAGGGTCGCCCCCCTATTAGATGGAGTGACGACCTGGTAAAACAAGCAGGAAGTCGATGGAGATGGAAGTTTTTTTCGTGGGTAGGTGTGTAACAAGTAACAGCTGACTTATTAGCTCTTATATTTTATATACTTTAAAATTATTTTAAACCAGTGTTTGGACTATATTTACATATCAATTACATCTTTATTACCTTTTCTTTTGAAGTCCTATTGAAATATATGTCCAGATAAAATATTTGTGACCTTGTTTCTGCAAACTATATCACTCATTAGCACTTCACTTTGTGTTCACTAATATCACAGCAAATATTGGAAGAAATGGCAAAAGTAACTGATGTGGAGGTCATGCAAAGAGAACTTGAAGGAAGCTGGAGTCGCAAAATGGCTGAATTTGAAAACAGATTAAAGGCTGCCTCCACACCTACTAATCCCTCTCTTAATCAACTCCGCGAGGAGTTTTATGAATTCAAGGACGTCGTTTGCTCCATGCTCAATCTCCTTCGGCAACAAATTCAAGCCTGCACTAAGTCAATTGATGCTATTGATATGCAGCACAGACAGAATATCCTTCTATTTAATGGGATCTCTGACTCCCCAGAAGTTAATATTGAACAAGAAATACTGGGTATCATACATAAGAAAATGGGTATCCCACATGTTACAAATGTGTCCTTAGTACGTTGCCATCGAATTGGTGCTCAAAAGGATGGTCGCTCACGTCCAATTCTTGTACAATTTCAAGAGCATAACACAAAGTCTGAAGTTTGGAAAGCTAAAACTAAGTTAAAGGGCTCTCAAATATCTGTGTCTGAGTTTTTAACTAAAATGAGGCAATCTGTACTTAAAAAAAGCCCGCAAGCATTTTGAAATGAAGAATGTGTGGACCTTAGATGGAGCAATTTTTATCAAACTTCCCAATAATGAACGGGCAAAAATCTTCACTGAAGAGGAGATTGATACTCTCATTAAACAGTTTCCTGTTGATTTTTCATCAGCAAGTCTTAGCATGGCTTCTAACAGCAGTATTACTAATAGCGTAAAGAAACCCATACAAGCACTGCAAAGTTCTTCAAACACAAAAATTCTGTGCGAGACTTCTCGCAATGAAGTTGGTGTGGTGATGCAGAAAGAGGATTCCAAAAGGTCCCGCCGTTTAATTGCTAAAAAATAGCTTGCTTAATTTACATATGGTATTCCTAGGTATCCTTTATTTTTGTAATCTCTTGTTTTTATTATTGATTTACATATATTTACTTAAGTGTTTACAGTCCCGCATCGTCTTGGTTGTAATGACTGGCACAGAACAATATTGTCTGTACTGTAGTCATAAGTTGTTCACTTTTTTACAGCAGTATAATTGCATTTTTTTTAAGTTGTTTTCTTCTAACAGTATAGTCTGCATAGGAATCTTTATCTCTCTAAATATAAACTTAATGAGATTTTATCTTGTAACACATAACTTGCTTGCGTTTAGTATTCTTTTGTTTCTTAGTTAGGTTTCTTACTTAGTAGGTTTGTTTATACTATGCTTGATATTGGTAACAATACTTATGCTTTTCTTTTTGTCAAATTTTGGGTTTTGATTTGATTGATTTGACAATGACAACTATGTATAACTTTTTTTTAGCCTTTTATAGACAAAGGACACATGTATCATACAGCCAACGTCGATCTTATACTTTGCTTTAATCGATTTTCTCTTGGTAAACATTCTCCTGTAATATTTTGTGTGACATCTACTTAGGAACTTTATTATTAGTCAAGATTATTTTTGCCACTTTAGATATTATAGATCATAAGTTTGTATATAAAATTTATTTATATTAAGTTTACTCTGTAAACAGTGAACTGATGGGTTGGTGATGTTTATGTTTAGTAATTGTTAGTTAATAGGTTAATAGTTTACATAACTTACTTTTTTTATTATATTTTTTTTATTATTTTTCTATATATTTACTTAATTTATTTATTATTTTAGTATATGTAATATGTCTGATGTTGAGTCGTTCAGCTCTGCAAATGATTCTTCTATTTTATCATTTCACTCTTGTAATGATTCTCTCAACGATAGCGTGCCTAATTTACACGAACTACTCAAAGGAGTTTTTACGTCTTTTAGCAACTCTGTGAACATATGTCATATTAACGCTCAAAATATACCGAGCCACTATTCCGAACTTGAAGCTTCATTTTTCCCGAGTATATTCATGCTATATTAGTGTCGGAAAGTTGGCTGAAACCTTCTTTACCGTCAACTTTATATCCCTTACCCGGCTTTGTACTTGTTAGGAATGATCGTGTTGGAAAAGGTGGAGGTGGTGTAGCAATCTACCTACACGCATCAATTCCTTATAAAATTGTCTTAGCATCTCCCTCCTGCTATTCCGCTTCTTCCGAATTTTTATTTGTGGAACTCGATGTCAAGGGCATCAGGATGCTTCTAGGGGTAGTGTATTGCCCCCCATCTACCGACTACTTCGCCACTTTAGATATGGCTCTTGTTGATATTTGTTCTGAGTACACTCACTGTATAATCATGGGTGATTTCAATACTGATCTGTTGAAAAGCTGCCCTCGTTCCAAAAGGTTTCTTTCAATTATTGAGTCGGTTAATCTTTCTATTCTCCCTTTAAAGGCTAGATTGATCTAATCCTTGCTGCTTCTCCTGAACATGTGATGATGCATGGACAGTTACCCGCTTTGGGTTTCTCACGCCACGACTTAATTTATGTATCGTATAAGCTTAAACCTCCTAAATATTCCCCTACTGTAATGCATCTTCGCAGTTTTTCTAAAATAGACTATGACAAGCTTAGGAATGACGCTCTTAATCTTGATCTAGCCTCCTTAATAGCAGCATCTACTGTTGACGATAAAGTCACTATCCTTAACCACAATATTCTTAGCCTTTATGATGCTCACGCTCCTGTTCACAAGGTTAGATTGAAGCGTCCCCCTGCCCCTTGGATGACAGAGGGCGTAAAGATGGCAATGGCTAGACGAAATCGTGCTTTTCTTCGTTTCAAGAGAGATCGAACCGAAGAAAATTGGACATCTTTTAAAGCAGCCAGGAATAGGTGTAATCAGATGGTACGTGCAGCTAAACGCCGATATTTCCATAACTGTATTAATAATTCTTCTCCAGTTTTAGTGTGGAAATTCCTAAAATCTTTCGGTCTTTGTAGACCAGCTACGTTGGATTGTGGTCCTTCTGTGTCACTTGATGAAATCAACCAACATTTCGCTTCTGTAAAAGCACTGGACCCTACAATTCGTTCCCAAACTATGGCTTCCATTGCTTCTATGCAAATTCCTAACATTCCTACCTTTAATTTTTCTCCTGTTTCTCAGAATGATGTCAAAAAGTCGATTTTAGCAATCCAGTCCAAAGCCGTGGGTTACGACAAGATTAGTAGACATATGGTTGTATTTATACTAGAGCACCTTCTCCCGGCAATTTCCCATATAATCAATTTTTCCCTTGGTTCAGGTCAGTATCCTAATCTTTGGAAGAGGGCTTTTGTAAAGCCTCTCCCAAAAGTTCCTACTCCTATTCATCCCAATCATTTTCGTCCAATATCCATTCTACCCTTTCTTTCCAAAATTTTAGAATCCTGTGTTTACAAGCAAATTTCTACTTTTATTTCGAAACATAACCTACTGAGTATATATCAGTCTGGATTTTGTCCTGGTCATAGTACCACTACTGCATTAATTAATGTTATTGATAATATTAAACAAGGCATGGAAGAAAAAAAAACAGTACTGGTACTAGTTGATTTCTCAAATGCTTTCAACACAGTTGATCATGAAATCCTTCTTTCCATACTGTCTCATCTTAATTTTGGACGTACTGAATTGGATTGGTTTGCATCTTATCTTCGCGGTCGACAGCAGTCAGTCAGTATGGGGCAACTGTCCTCAGCTTGGGCTGATGTGGATGCTGGTGTGCCGCAAGGCGGTATTCTTTCTCCTATAATGTTTTCAATTTTTATAAACTTTATTACCTCCATCATCGACTGCTCGTACCATTTATATGCCGATGACCTTCAGCTTTATGTGCAAACTGAGATTGGGGATATCCATAATGGGATCAAAAACCTTAACGGCAACTTAGCAGCTATCAAGGATTGGTCTACTCGTTATGGAGTTTTGGTCAATCCTTCGAAATGCCAAGCTATACTGGTGGGTAGCTCAAGGATGCTGGCTAAGATTAATTTGACAGACTTACCTCCTATTTACTATGATAATACTACAATTCCTTTCAGTAATTCTGTTAGAAATCTTGGCCTTCACATCGACAGCACGCTGAATTGGAGAACTCAGGTTTCAGATGTGAGTCGTAAAGTCACTGCCACGTTATGCTCTCTGTATCGTTTAAAACATTTTCTTCCCACAAAATCTAAGATCATGCTTGTTCAATCACTTAGGTATATTACCCACAGTTGATTATGCAGATGTGTGTTACCCAGACCTGTCCCAAGATCTTCTGAACAAGCTGGAACGCCTCCTCAATAACTGTATAAGATTTATCTTTGGGCTTCGTAAGTATGATCATATTTCTCAATACAGATCTAAGCTAAATTGGCTTACAATCCGGCAGAGGCGCAACTCCAGAATATTACTTGTACTTTTTTCCATATTAAATGATCCATCTTCGCCTTCTTATCTTAAGAGTAAATTTCATTATCTTTCTTCATCTCATGATAGGGTCCTACGCTCTTCTTCTAACAACAAAATCTGTACTCCAGTTCACTTCACCGAGTTCTATGGTAACTCCTTCACAATTCAGGCTACACGCCTTTGGAACTCCTTGCCCGATGACATCAGAAAAGCTCCCAATAAGTACACTTTTAAAAAGTTGGTCCGTGATCATTTCTTAAAGACAATGCATTTTACATGACTCATCTATTTAATATGTATTGCCAAACAGACGTATATATTCATAGTCATTTGTATATACTAACTATTGTATTTAAAATATATATATATATATATATATATATATATATATATATATATATATATATATATATATACTTGTATGTATATCCATTTATTTATATATTTGTATATATGTAAGGATAGACCATATATGTATAGTTTATTTATTAGTAGGGGGAGTTGGGGGAATTGGGAGTCACTTAAGGAAAACTCGTTATTATAATCACTAATAATCAGTCTTATAATTTGTTCACATTTACTTATCTTTAAAAACTATTCAGGTATCGAGTTACTTAAGTATTTTTGGTTATCATTTCCATAAACATAATTATAATTAAAAAACCAAAAAGTCATTTTGGCTCCAATTACCCACATCTAAGGGGAATGAAAGTCAGTCTATGAGGGAATAAGAGTCAAAATTATGAAACAAAAAAAAGTAACAAAACTCTTTAAACAAACAAATAAGAATTAACAAAATCAAAAGTTAGAAATGGAATCCTAACAAAGAATGGAATATAAATCGAGTTAAATGCAAAAATCACAGCGATAGCGATTTGGATCATCACATCCTGTACATGCCTCATGAGCCCATCCAGCACAGAGACGGCAACGGTACCAGATTTCTCTCAGTATTCCCTCTTCGAGGCATATCGTGCACACAGAATGATCACGCTCTTTCTGAGTGTTTTTCTGGATGTTTAGCGGGATTTCAATATTTTCTAAGTCACTATCAGCACTCTCGTCATACGGAACTTGTTCATCAGCCGATTTTTCAGATGAACTTGACTTAAATAAGTTCTTTTTAACTTCTTTTATCTTCTTAATTACTTTGCCTCTTGTATGCAGTAAGAATTCCTGATTGATGTGTTTTTTTTTCTTATGCCTTTACCTTTCTCGATGCTAGACAGAGGTATTACTTGTGAAAGTACGCTAGCTAGAGGTTCACTGTCGGATTTATTGTTCTCTTGATTTATACTATCATTTGGTTTATAATTTGTAATATCAACACTTGTAGAAGGTTGCGGTCCTATAACGTTCCTACTGCTAGTTGATGCTGTTGCTTCTGAAATGTTGTTAGTTGAATGGTAATCTGAAACTTCATTAACTCTTAAGTTTGTTATGGTGGCAGAAATATTTTAAACACAGAGAACATCAGAGGATTTAGTCACTTCGGTTTTATTAAATCCTGCAATTCTCTGTATAATTACAGCTTCAGGATTCCGAATGCTTATTCGTAGATTTTTCTTAAGAAATCCTTGGATCCAGTCCCTGCCAGCCATTCTAGCATCTCTATTAAATTTATGAGATAGCTATAAATTTTCAGCACATTGAAATGTTATTTTTTCTTAGTTAATATGTCGTTAAACCAACAAACAACTTAATTGTAAAACACTTTCTGTAAGTATATTTTCTTGCTCTTCGTTAAAAACGGCATGCCTTCCTAATTTTAGAGGTTTAAATTTATCTTTCTTTATCCTTATTTGTAATGTGCTGAAAGGAATACCAGTTTCCTCGGCAACTTTGCGCATTGCCGCCTTGTCTGATGCACACAGCAGCTGACTGCAAGTTGCCTACAGTCCAACTCGCTTTAAAGGTCTTTCTAATCCAGTTCCTTGACGTCTGAAATGAACAAAAATGTTTATTTATAATGAAAAACGATGCGGGGAATGGGGGTCAACTAACTCTCATTACCCCAAGGACGGTTTGTTTGCTAGATTTGAATTATTAAATAAAAACACCAAAAAAATCTAATAAATTGCAATTATAAACATAAGTTTAGTCTTAGTACTATACTTTAAGATTATTTTATATGCAAAAGTAACAAATATAGATACTCACGTTTTCGATCGAAATTTCTAAAATTTTACAACGGCTCCTCCTCTATGACACATGTGTTATTCCTGATGACGCGAGCGTGAGTGGCGGCCCGGCGTATTGGCCAGTGCGGGAGGGGTGCGGAGCTACACCCCATGCGACAGAGCTGTATTCTGTAAAGCTTTAGGTTCAATTCATTTTGAACTGACCCGCATTGCCCACTGACTACCATTCCCCCCTGGCTCCCCTAGTTTGTATATATTATGTAGTTAATTATCATTTGTATATTGTTCTCTTATTGCCACACCTACATCAAATTCTCACCACTCCATGGGTTGACTGGTAGAGAATGCCTCAAGGCATTAAGTCCGCCCTTTGTATTCTTTTGTTTAAGGATGCAATAAAGAATAAAAATAAATAAATAAATGGAGGCAAGTGGCTCAGGACTGTGCTTTGTGGCATTCCTTGGGTGAGGCCTATGTTCAGCAGTGAACTCTTAAAGGGCTGTAATGATGATGATGAATGATGACTTATTAGTACACTTACTCATCTAACCATTCCATGTTCGCTATACCACACAACCATACCATAACACCAATGTATTTATGTTGGTTACGTTTGTATTTGTGCAATAGTAGGTACACTAAAAACACTAGGCGACGGGTTTTATGATTGTTCATATTAAATTTTAGGCAGGCAGACGAACTCAAGTGCTGTTGTGTAGTATCCAGGTACCCTGAACACTATTCCGCGGGCGTTATGATAGTTCATAATCAATTTTTAAGAGACTGACGACGTGACGCCACTAATCAACTGTGGGACCAACATATTTACTTACTCGCTACTAAGTACTTACATCTACTTTAGTTTGGCATGTGGATCTTATAAAACATTTACCCTCTTGTTTTTAATTTACGAGAAAATTGTGATCAGCCAATTATTGTTGATCTATTGATGCGGAGTTAGCTAAGTTGCATTCTATACGTACAATTTATAACGCGAGTAGAAAGCATGTCAAGATTCTAAGTTGAAAACATTCATTAAAATAAATAAATACTATATATAATAAGTTATAAGGTAGGCTTGTTACATCAAGGCAACACTGTAATCACAACGGAGAACAAAACTTTTCGCAAAATATAGGATTCGTGCATAAATGTGGCTTTAGGGTAATTGAATTTTTAAAAAATGGTTGTGTGCTTCAATTTCTCCATCTCCCATTATCTGTACAAAAAACTATGCTAATATATTACGCTTCCATTTTACTACTTTATAAATAACACTTATCAATAAAAAATAAAAACATTCCTATGTTGCAGCTTGATTATTAATAACATAATTTAATTTAACATATAAGTTTAATATTTTAATGTTTCTCTTTCTAATCTTCATTTGTGCTCGCTTTCCTAATCATTAAAAGAAATATATCTTACACATAGCACCTGTAAAGCATCATTAAAGTTGTTTAGTAGATCTGCTTAAATTTTAATTTTCGTATACATATTATACCACAGCAAGTGCCTGGTTAACTAGCTAAATGAGTAGTCTAGTCTAGTCTAGTCATTCATTGTATAACTATTTTGCTCGTCTGAAATTTTAAAATGTAACAGCTAAAAACGAAAAATTCAAACACTGTTTGAATGTAACTAATCATTTCATCAATACATTTTCTTCGACAGAGATAGTCCTAGCGTACAGCAAGTATAGGAGGTGGTGGATTTGTTTTAGGTCTACTGCACGCACGTTGGTGGATGTCGACTTGTAAATATGGAGGTATTATAAATATAATCTTACTAATACGATTCTACAAGTATGCCGAATTTTGATACACAACAAACTTTGTGAAGTTGTTGTACATAAAAATAAACTTATAATCGCTTTTCATTATGATGCATATAAATTACTTTTTTATCTTAAATATATTAGCTACACTCAAGGAATTTCTTCTGTATTTGGAGAAATTTCACACACACATACACAGTGGCATTCTTTGAGGAAGGCCTAAGTTCAGCAGCGGAATTGTGTTGGGATGTAATGATGATTATCATGATGATGATGATAAGAACATGTATTTTATGAAATTTCGGGTAGGAGTGTGTATTGCCGATTGATAATCAAAAAGCAAAAAAGGTGGCCTTGCGAATAAAATTTTATCCATTAGGCTATGAATGAGTATAATATACCACAGTATAATATAATATATATAAGTAATTTATACCAAGATTAATGAGCCAGTACAAATAAGCCTTCTAAAATGCTATGAATCGGTCAAGAATAAGCCTAGCTGGCTAGGCTATGGTAGAGTGGACAGGGATGTGTTATGGCAAACGCTGAACTCATTTAGGTTGAACGCTGGGTTGATACAGGTATTAAAGTCTGTATAGGGACTCGAGTGCTTGAGTTAGAATCAACGGGGCCTACTCGGACTGGTTTGGCATCCATAAAGGTGTCAGACAGGGCTGTGTAGCTTCCCCGTGGCTGTTCAACCTACTTATGGACAGCTGTTTGGAAAATTTGAAAGTTGAAGAATGCGGATTAAGAATAGGTGAGTTAACCATCAAATGCCTTTTGTACGATCGATCAAATCATACTTGCGTCGTCGGCGGCCGAGTTGCAAATGATGGTTACATTAATGAACAGGTCATTAAAATAAAGGGGAATGAAAGTGAACGCAAGTAAGACGAAAGTGATGGTTTTTGAAAGAGAAGAAAGCAAAACGGTATGTGAAATAAGAATAGAAGGAGAGTTAATTGAGCAAGTGGATGAGTTCGTATATTTGGGATGGGAGATATGATAAGGATATTCAACGACGAGTGAATGCAGGAAATAAATGGGGCTCTACACTCTATTGTGAAAAGTCAGAATGTGTCAAAAAGGCACAATGCTGTATTAGTCACTACTTTAACGTATTGTAGTGAAAGTTGGGTGTGGCAGAAGAAGCACGAGTAGAATAAATGCAGTAGAAACGCGGTCGCTAAGGAGTATGTTAGGGCTGAATCTGAGTGACAGGGAGAGAAACTGTGTGATAAAAGAAGAGTGTGGTTTGCAAGATGATGCGGTGACCAGGATTAAGAAAGTATTGCTTCGGTGTTTGGTCATGCAGAAAGAATGAATGAAGAAAGACTGACATAGTAAATATATGTTGCAGAAGTGAATGGAAGAGTCGGAAAGGGACGTCCTAGGCGAAAGTTGGTCGACCAAATTGGTGATATACTAAAAATGGGGCAAATTAAGAGTACCCTTAACCGACGAGCATGTATGTGTAGGTATATGGATGTGGAAGAGGCGAGAGAGGTATGTCAGGATCGTGGAAATGGAAGTCTGTAGTCTCTGCCTACCTCTCTGGGTGACAGGCGTGAGTGTTTATGTATTATGTTATGTATTAATGAGCCGACCATTTTTTAAAGCTCTCTTCATTCAAATTAACGAATACATCTTTCTATAAAAAATCTGTTAAAAAGCATCGACCTTCGACAACAATGCGTTTACACGCAGGACATAAAACTATACAAGACTTGTTAATTTTTCGAAATAATATGACATTCTAATATGTTTTTGTTCATATTTTCAGGTTATCAATGTTAATGCAATTACCACAGGTGGCTTATCAAATACCAAAGTTTATAATGGGCTTGGGCTGAAATTTGAAAGATCTAAAATAAAATTGAAATCAAATTTAATTGGACCACCGGATTTAGTCGCATCGAGAACATTACTTCTTATTATTTTTTTTTACAAACTGTTCATTTTTTATTTATTTATTAAGCCATTTTAAGTTAAAAAAGAGTAAGAGATTTTAATTTATGTATTTTATAAGATCGTCTAGTTATCATTAATGTGATTTCACAATCTAGTTAATAAAAGATGTCATTGGTCCATCTTTAGTTCTCAATTTTACTGTTGTTAATATTTGTAAATAAAATTTGTAAATTTGTAATAGACAATAATAAATAAATTTGTTTTATTAAAACTATGTTTTTCTTCAAACATTTTATTTTTTTTTTATAAAATCAGTAAAGAGCTTTACGTTCTTTCATTGTTTTCAATAAGATGAAGCACATAAACACATTTCGTATGTACATCATATAACGAAAATATACTTCTTCTTAGTCAAACAAATTAAAACTTATCCTCTTCGTTATATAAAAGTACAATATACGTTATTCGAAGTATTACGTTGAGAAATTTTCTGGACATAAAAGAATTGGTCCGCTTTATTTAAAGACTGCAAATTCTTGGCACAAATTAAAACATAAAACAATGGCTTAACTCTTACCATACTATTTACACTTGCTTTTTATTTAAAATATATTTATGACTAAAACAAATGCAGCAAATCTACGTTTTCATGGCTGCAGTTATCTAATAATTGTATCAGTCTGTTGTCAGAATTTCAGATGAGGTTTAAAAAATTAAAGTACTTTTTATTCTTTGAAACGAATTCACGATTTGATATATCATCGTATTGTCGTATTTATTTCATTTTATGAAGTGCTTACCGATTATACAAATTTCTGATGCACAGTACGGTTATACGAAAATAGACATATATCTAACCACAATGCACATCAGGAATAATATGCTAGATTACTAAGTTTATTCAGAAAAACAATACGATGACACATCAAATTCACGTTAGCCCTAAATTGTTGAAATGTAGCAATAAATGTTAAGTAATGCATTTTGGCAGTAATTTATTTTAAAAGTTTAAAATCTTGATTTTTGAAATGTGATGTAAACCATTTAGTTTGCTACTTGTACTTTATTTACATATTCTTGAAAAGTATTAAAATTTTCGTAAATGCAATATTTTATCATACAGTCAAGACTTGACGGCAAGAGAAAATCAGGTGAATTAGATTATTTGTGTCAAGTACAGAAATAGTAATAATAAGATAATAGAAATGAATTAGCGCTCGATTACTTCCAAAACCGATGTCGCCACATTTTCACACATACGACCGATGCCAGCAGCCATATTATAAAAATATGCAATGCACAATTATATTATTTTACATTACATTGTTTGGCGAGTTTGTCAACGTCGCGTGCGTCGCGTATTACGGTAGAACAAAAGCAGCAATGGTAATTGTACGAAAAGTAATAAATTAAAGTTTACAAAGGTAAATATCATAGTAAAGTATTCATATAGATCTAAATTTGTTAAAAGAATGATAATTAGTGAATAATCTTCTAACCGATGAAATGTTATGCCTTTATAATAGTGAATAATGTTTCTCAACACATCATAGCGGCGACAAGGTCACGCGTCTATCTATGCCACTTCTATTGTCTTATTATTACGATTTCTGTGGTATCAAAAATATAGTTTTCTAATATTTTGCCATTTAATTTATTACATCAAAAATATTGTTCACTTCCAATTTGTTAATATTGCCAAATTATAATTAAAGCAACAATAACATAGCACTCATGAGCTCATGACAGACATTTCATATTTTATACGAATATTTTTTCACATTAAAAATATTTAATTCCTTGAAGTAGAATAAATTATTTGATGAATAATAATATTCTAAAATGTTTGCAAAAAAAAACTAATTTTAAAAATTAATTCCATACATTTAGAAATTTTAAAATATTAAAAATGTCTTATTTTACGACATAATAATTGAGTGCGCACAATTTTTTTCTTTAACAAACAACTGATTAAAATTATGTGGGAGTTAAAATTGTTGTTTTTAATGTATAGTCATAGTAATAAAACGGAATTTTCAAATTTTCAAACTCTAAAAATATTAAATACAAAGCACAGTGATTGTGCTTATATAATAAAGCACATTTAAAAAGATTATTCTAATTATTATAACCTGCAAATATAAAAATTATAAGAATAAAATCGAATTTTTAAAATTATACATAAATTTTCAAACTTAAATGCAAAAGGATAGTGATGTATGATATTACAAGTTACAAATAATCTCAAAATTAACTAATGAGTACAAACTCCAAAAGTCAAAAATAAAGTAAAATACAGTCTTGATGGCATTGTTAAAATGAAAACGAAGGCCACACATCTGCTACTGCCACCACCACTGCCAAATGTAATATCACAGTGAACAATATGTTAGCTCTTATACCATTACACACCACTAACCTTTACCTTATGGCAAACTTTTAAATTACAACTAAAATGAAAAATTGGAAATAAAATCAATGTTCACTAAAATTCTATGTACAGTTCGAAATCATGTCAAAATATATCCTTGTTCATCAATATCATCAATCAGTCTAAAACATAAAAATTATACTTAATTTTGAGTATTTGAAGTTAAAAAGAAGGGCCTACCTATTTCTTTCTAAAACTTTTATAAGCCCATGAAGAAGAAAATCTACAAATTTAGTGTCATGATGTATTCCTATAATACTTAATTACTATTACAATACATTGAAATGAGGTATCAGAGACTTTTTTAAATTACTAGGAATTATAAAAGAAATATCCAAAATGGCACTGCATCAGACCTTGGGTAAACTATCCAATAATTATCTTAATCTCAAGCAACATTCATTCTAATCTTTTACACAATGATTTCAGAAATCATATAAGTAACGTAACTATCTTTGGGCATGGAATGTAAACAATTTTTTTTTTACAAAAACTCACTGGGTTTGCTTTGCACTTGTAATATAATATAAGTCATAGGAGCCTACGTAAAGTTCTCTTACTTTTCTTTGTGCACATT